CACATCGATCTCACTATTGATCTCACTATCGGTCTCACTATCGATCTCACTATCGATCTCATTCAACGGGACACCACGGGACACCAGCGGGACACCGGATGGACACCGCGCGGCACCGGCCGCCGGAGGAGCAACATTTGGTCCGGCCGCGGCCCAGCCACAGGAGGATTTCGGGACACCCACGGGACACCGGCGGGACACCGCGCGGCACCGGCCGCCGGAGGAGCAACATTTGGTCCGGCCGCGGCCCAGCCACAGGAGGATGTCCTCTCGCCCTCCCACGCAGCTTCGCCTCGCCCGCACGCACGCATGGCACGCACGACACGAACCCGAAACCGAAACCGATTTCCCGGTAGGGGGGGGTCTCCGTTTCACGTCGGACTCACCCCCCAACCTCCGATGTTTAAAGATTCCTCCTGTAGAGGGACACGCCCGACTTAAGAGTAGTAATATGTTTGGTGTGCTTATGAATCGCTGCACACACACACACACACACACACACGGCAGCGAACGGCAGTAATTCTCAAAGTGGAGAACAAGTAGCGCAAGCGGTGGTTATATAGGGCATGGTTGTGCAAGCATTTGCTCGTGCGTGCCGCTCTCCTCGAAAGACGTAGCTTCTCTCTAGACTACAGAAGCCCTTGGAGGCCCGAGCTGCCCCGGGCGCCCCGCCCTGGAGGAGCCGGGCGGGGGGCGCCGAGGCAGCCTGCCCGCGACAGCCGCACACAGCCGCGCGGGCCCGCCCTGCCGGCGAGCTGCCGCTCCCGGAGCAGGGACCGACCGTCCCTGCTCAGGGACGAGGAGGAGGAGGAGGAGGAGGAGGAGGGAGGAGGAGGGAGAGGAGGAAGGAGGAGGGAGGAGGAGGAGGAGGGGGAGAGGAGAGGAGGGGAGGAGGAGGAGGAGGAGGAGGAGGAGGAGGAGGAGGAGGAGGAGGAGGAGGAGGAGGAGGAAGGAGGAGGAAAAGGAGGGAGGGAGGAGGAGGGAGGGAGGGAGGAGGGAGGCCTGCAGGCCTACCCATGAGGGGGTCCATGTGGTCGCCTGCCTGCCGAGGCCTTGCGGCCCCGCTCGCGCCGCGCCCCTGGGCGCGCGGAGCTCCTGCGGGCCCGCGGCGCAGGCTGGGGGCGACGGGGGCGCCCGCCGCGCCCGTCGCGGCGCCGTGGGCCCACCACGAACTGCTCTACAAGAACAACAAAAGGGCAAAGGCGCCCAGGGGCACACAGAGAACGACACGCACGGATCTCCCAAGGTGCCCCCTCTCTTCATGTATGTGTTTCCCCATATCCAAAGTGGGGTTCTTGTTTTCTCTGCACACGCCGCGCAGGATCTCACACACCCCCTTTTCCGCTCTCTCTCTCTCTCTCTTTCTCTCTCTCTCTCTCTCTCTCTCTCTTTCTCTCTCTCTCTCTCTCTCTCTCTCTCTCTTTCTCTCTCTCTCTTTCGCTCACCATCATCGCCATCATCATCACCGTCAAACACCCTCATCGTCATCACACGCACACACTCATCATCATTACCACCATCATCATCATCAACGAGCATCACCGTCATCACTAGTCATTATCATCATCCTCATCATCATCGTCACCATCATCACCAGTCGATCACCCACTCACTCACTCAATTACTCACTCATCCTCAGTAAGCTTCAAATGCAGTGGTCCTCCGACGGTAGGACCGCCGCCACTCTCAACATCATCGTCACCATCTCCATCATAATCTCTCGGTCACCCACTCAGTGGCCATCATCATCATGATCATCATCATTGTCTCTTCTTCTTCATCATCATCATCATCATCCTCATGATCATCATCATCATCATCATCACTCATTCATCACACTCTCATCATCGTCATCATCATCATCATCATCATCATCATCATCATCATCATCAGCATCATCATCATCATCATCATCATCATCATCATCATCATCATCATCATCATCATCATCATCATCATCATCATCATCATCATCATCATCATCATTCGTTCACTCATGATTTCGCCATCAGGCCGAAGCCTCTGAGTGAATTGCGAGGAAGTCTCAGGCGGGAGCCCCCTCCCTATGGGGCCCGCCGACCATGTTACTAATCCGAGCGGGTCCTCGGAACCCTGTAACTGTCGTCACTTTCGGGCCTCTGAAGCTTGAATATGCAGGAAGTATCAGGCGGGAGCCTCGTCTCTGAGTGAATTGCGATGAAGTCTCAGGCGGGAGCCCCCTCCCTATGGAGCCCGCAGATCACGTTACTAATCCGAGCGGGTCATCGGAACCTTGTAACTGTCGTCACTTTTGGGCTCTTGAGGCCTGAATATGGAGGAAGTATCAGGCGGGAGCCTCGTCTCTGAGTGAATTGCAGGGAAGTCTCAAGCTGGAGCCCCCTCCTTATGGGGCCCGCCGACCATGTTACTAATCCGAGCGGGTCCTCGGAACCCTGTAACTGTCGTCACTTGTAAGCTCTTGAGGATTGAATATGAAGGAAGTCTCGAGCGGGAGCCTCGTCTGTGAGCGAATCGCAAGGAAGTCTCAGGCGGGAGCCCCCTCCCTATAAGGCTCGCAGATCACGTTACTAATCCGAGCGGGTCATCCGAAGCCTGTAACTGTCGTCATTTTTGGGCTTCTGAGGCTTGAATATGCAGGAAGTATCAGGCGGGAGCATCGTCTGTGAGTGAATTGTGAGGAAGTCTCAAGCGGGAGCCCCCTCCCTATGGGGCCCGCAGATCACGTTGCTAATCCGAGCGGGTCATCGGAACCTCGTAATTGGCATCACTTTTGGGATCTTGAGGCCTGAATATGGAGGAAGTATCAGGCGGGAGCCTCGTGCGTGAGTGAATTGGGAGGACGTCTCAAGCTGGAGCGCCCTCCTTATGGGGCCCGCCGATCATGTCACTAATCCGAGCGGGTCATCCGAACCCTGTAACTGTCGTCACTTCTTTGAAGCTTGAATAGGAAAGAAATCTCGAGCGGGAGCCTCGTCTGTGAGTGAATTGCGAGGAAGTCTCAGGCGGGAGCCCCCTTCCCTATGGGGCACGCACTTCACGTTCGAACCCGAGCGGGTCATCCGAACGAGCTTTTTGGGCTCCTCAGCTCCTACGGCCTGAGCACGGGGGAAATATCAAAGGGGAACTTTGTCTGTGGGCGGCGCGGGTAGCCCCGTCAGAGGACCGTTTCCTGTCGTCACTTGGAGGTCTGAGGACGCAGACGACGAGCGGGACTTCGAGGAGTGCGCGCCGGGCCAGCACTTCCGCCCCCGCTTCCTACCGCAGGGAATCTGGCTGCAGGTGCACGGTTTCCAAGAGTCCCCGATCTACAAGGAGGTCGCCGAGGTGCTGCTGCAGGGCGCCGATGGCGCCGCCGACGACGGCGAGGCCGAAGCGCGGGCGAGGAGCTTGCTCATGTTCAGGCCCAGCGAGCAGGAGCTCACGTGGCAAAGCTCGGGGGCGCACACTGTGCGCCGCTCGGGGTTCACCCTGACGCATGCGTCCTACCTGACCTCCACGCTGTCGCAGGGCCAGACGCTGCGCAAGGGCGTCACCATCGACTGCGCCAGGGATGAGGACGCTGGCCGCACGGGCATGTCGGACGAGATGTGGTGGCCGCACCTCTACGTCATGTTCTCCCGCGCCACGTGCATGCGGAACATGCTGATCCTGCGGCCGCCCGCGCGAGAGTTCCTGGAGCGCGGGCCGCCGGCGTCACTGCGGAAGGCGCCCCAGGAGTTCGACAAGAGAGCGGTGGATTCCAGGGCTGAGGCGGAGCAGCTCGCGGCAGAGCTGGGCTTTGTGCTGCCGCCCGCCTGAGCGCCGCGGCGCGCACCTAAAGGCCCGCGGGGTTGTCCCAACGGCTGGCTCCCGCGCCCCTGCGGCCTGCGAGGTTGCCCCAACGGCCTGGCCCGAAGGGTTGCCCCGACGGCTTCGCGATCTACCCGTCGGCAAACGCGCGCGTGCTGGCCAACGCGGCGACGCCGCCGAGGAAAATCGAGTTGCTTGCCACGACCAGGGGGAACGGGAGGTGCACATGGAAAAGAAGCAGGAGGATGAGGAGGGAAGGGGCATGGGGGAGGGCGACGACGAGGAGGAGGTGGCGCGAAAGGAGGAGGAGGAGGAGGAGGAGGAGGAAGAGGAGGAGGAGGAGGAGGAGGAGGAGGAGAAGTAGAAAGAGGAATAGAATGAGGAAGAGAGGGCAGTGCAGAGGGCGAGAGGAGAGGGTGTCCGCCAGGGGGATGAGGAAAGGGCAAAGGGTAAGTTAAACAGATTCTCATGTGGGGTCCTACCGTAATTCCTGGGTGTTCGTCTTCCCCCCCTCTCTTCCAATATGTTCCCATATCTTCTTGGTGGTCGACGGTTCATTGTGTCTTAGAAGAGAGGCCTCCTGGATGGGGTCGGAGTAGATGGGGCGGGAGCATCGGCGATGCATCGGCGATGCATCGGCGATGCATCGGCGATGCGTCGGCGTTGCACCGGCGATGCATCATCGACGTCGGCGATGCATCGGCGACGTCGACGTAAAGCAAATCAAGCTACACATCAAGCCGCATCGGCGATGCATCAACAATGCGGCGGGATCCTCCGACACCATCCACTCCGACCCTATCTGGGAGGCCTAGATAGAACCCAAAAATGCTCTGAGAACAAAAACAGTGCTCTCAGAACATAAGCCCGAGGTGCTCACACAAGACAGTCCCAGCCAGAAATGCTCCGAGAACATCTCGTGCAGGCCACACTGACTACCTACCAGACCACCCCAACCCAACCCGAAGACGCGAATCTCGGGTGGGGGGGGGTCGGGGTTCCATATGTGTTTTTTCGATGTTCCCGGACCCCCCCCCCACTAGAAATCGAGGGTAAATCTGAGCCTGCGGGTTGGGTTGGGGTGGTTTGGTGGGTGGTGAGTGCAGGCCACACGAGGTTCTCAGAGCACTCTTTGGTGGGCCTGGAGGCAGGCCTGGACGCTTCGCCACTGCAAGAGCTCCCCGCCACCCCGCCTGCCCTGGCCGGCCGGCCTGCTGCTCCTGGGGCTGCTCGAACGGAAAGCCCTGGCCCGGGAAGCCCATGCCTCGCGGGCGGGCGGGAGGTTCGAGGCTCGACGTTTTCGGGGCTCGAGGCTCGAGGCTTTCGGACGTCTTCGTCGGTTCTCGGCGGTCTTCCAGCCTGGGGATGCACGCCAGCAGCTGCGCCTGGC